TATATATATATATATATATATATATATATATATATATACATATATCTTAGAAGATGAAGAGTTTTGGGTTCTTACCAATGTGCCACTGCTACCCATGGTGAGGGGACTCTTGACCAGGGTGATGGTCTTGGTGACTCCTCCCACCACAGTGGTGACCACCTGGGCCTGCTGAGCCACTGTGACAGCACCAGATTTGTGTACAGTGATGATTGGTCTGGTGGTGGTGGTGGGAGAGGACGCTGTGGCCGTGCCCACCTGGGCTGCAGCGGTTTTCAGCATTCTGGTGGCTGGGTTACTCACCTGTGCAAGGAAAATTAAGTTTAAGCCAAACTAAGAGAAATGACGTGATGTTGAAGTTAACAGCTAGCCGCAGCAGCTTAGAGCAAAGCAAATCTCTGAACATATTCAGTTTAAACACAACATCAGTTTATAGCAATACTATTTCATGAAGCTTTAAACGATAAACCAATATGGCTCTACAGAAATTGTATTAATCTAGGGTTTGTAAGTTGTCTGTAAATGTGTCCACATTTTTGAGTTTGCTTCTAGTGTAAAGCATTTTGAGTGGTCTGCATGTATTATATAAAATCACTCAGTTAATCATCTTATTGTTAACAGTATTAATGTAACAATTCCTTCATTATTTATGAAAACCAATACACAATTATTAACAGAAATATAAAACTGATCTTGTGTGAAACGCACTGAGAAAGGAACGTGTTTAAGGGAGAAAAACTGACAGGAAAGAAAAATGAAAAATACAGAAATTTCCCCCCTTAAATGCTAAACTGACAGACTGTTTTGAACGTTGGAAATGAGGGCATATATTCAGCTGATTACCATTACAGGAGAAGCCATTTTCACTGTGGTGGTGCCAGGGGAAACAGCGACTGTTTTCAGAATGGTGGCACCAGTGGGAACATTGAGAACGGTGCCACCAGAAGAGGGCGGGATCTTCTGTGTGGCTGCAGCTGCAGCAGCTAAAGCTGCCATTCCACTCATCTGAGGGCTACTTCCAATTGGCTGTAAACGGAACAATTTCATTATTTGGCTAACATAAAATACATTAACATAGAAAGCATTAAATAAAGGTGGAACATGAAGGAAGTTAAACATTACGGATAGTTGTGTGAAACTACTCATACCGATCCTTGGGTGGTTTGGGTAGGCACTACCATGCGAACACCTGGAGGAAGGGAGGTCACGGTGACGGGGGATTTCCCCGGCTGGCTTGGGCGAACTGTGACAACAGATGCACCAGTGGCAGACTGTTGGGTTGCAACCTTTAAAACAGCTGAGGACAAGCAGAAAAAGGAAATTATGATATTTTAGTTATCTAGCACATATCCTCCATGTCATCAAGGAGTGCCCTTGTTACCTGTCTGTGGTAAACTCTGTGCAGATGGAGCTGCAGCAGCAGGTGCAGGGCTCTTTGGAGAGTTGACGGGCTGTGAAGGGGTTGCACTCGTAGCTGGTGAGGCTGCGGCTGGGGTCGCAGGTATGTCATACTTTTGCAGCTGCAGCAAGTAAGTGTCGGCTGTGGAAACTGCTCCCCAGCTAACCTCCAGAGAGTTTGTGTTGGCACGGACTAACTGAACCCTGGCAGGAGCATGGGGTCGCTCTGCAGGACGAAAGGTGGTAATTACAGGAATGGGAACATTTTCTCCCCAAGCAAGTCACAAGTACCTTTAATGTTGCAGCAGACTCACCTGTTTCTAGATACCAAAGGTCTTTACAACAGACTTGGTTGTTCCAAGCTTTGCGATAACCGTCACGGCCGCTCCAGACATAGAGTCTGGAATTGATAGCCACAGCGCAATGGCCGGCACGAGCCCGAGGGATGTTATCTTCCAAGGTATCCATCAACACTGTTTCCCAACACATAGTGTCTGCAGGAAAAAAAAACAAAACAAATGTTTAGCATCCTGTCAACTGTTTTACTCCGCTGTATATTCAATGAAAACTAACAGTGAGACAAACCGAGATTTAGGCAAGCAAGAGTGTTTGTGCATTTCCACTCTTTCTCGTGTGTGGCCACTTTGACATCATCCATCACCAGAGGAACCCATCCGCCAAAAACATACATCCTGCCAAGCAAGAAAACCCAATCATGGTAACCTTTCATTATTTAGGCATCAGAAATTCAAACTCTAGATGTTAAACACAAATGAACTGGGCTTCCTACTTGTTTGTGATTGTGGTGGCAGAGTGAAGACTTCGTGGAAGAGGTGCTGTACCACCTACTGAAGGTTTGTGCCACGTCAAGGTATCTAGGAACAACAAGTAAAAATTATCAAAGCTAACATCACAACATTTTAACACTTACAACCAGGTATAAACTGGATAAGATAAGCAAGCGGTCCATTAATTTGTACCTAACAAGGGGACGCTGCTACACACCACATTTAACAGAAAATTTTAAGTAAATGGTCTACTGGAAAAAAAAAGTTCTTAGAACACCAAGAAATTTTACATTTATAGGAGGCAACTTACACTTCTTATTTTTTTTTTTATAATAAAGAAGGTCAGCTGATGCTAATAATAATAATCAGAACCAAATAAGCTGAATTTCTATATACTACAAAATATTATTTTAAAATTAATGGCTATATATTAAAATCAAAATATCACAATTGTATACATCGATACAAAAAATATTCTATTTGTAAGTGATAATGGGAGTAAAAAAATAAACCGGTTAGGAGCTGCCAAGTGTAGGGTTCACCTGTTTAAACAGTTGTTCTTCATTGATTCCTTAAATTAAGAGACAGACACCTACCAATATCAAGAGTCCAAAGATCTCCAAGACGACAACCACTCATTCCTCCATAGATTATCAAGCGAGACTTCCTGGTTGTCTTTTCTGTGTAGACCACAGCAGTGTGACTCTCTCGTGGTGGAGGCAGAACTCCGTATGTGATGGGAATATCCCAACCAACCACACTAGAACCTGGGCGAAGCTCGAGTGTGTACAAGTCATTTAGGTATCTAATTGAGAAAACACAAAACAAAAAGCACAGATATTCAACACTCACGTTGCTGCCTGTGTCAGTCAAGGATGATTCTGATTAAACCCACCCCACCAACTCTTACCTGGGAATGTTGTTCTTGGGATCCTCACTGTCATTGGCCAGTCCACCAAACAAGTAGCATTTGTTACCAACGAGTGAAAAGCTATGACCAAGTCGAGGACAAGGTGGGGGTCCATTTTTCGGATTTTTGGCTTTCAGTTTTTTCCATTCCCATCTGCTGGCCTGTTACGAAAACAACGATTCAATTGTTTTTTTTTATCTATTTATTAACAGTTTTCATATTACATGGTAACTGAAGTTTTTTCTTTTAACATTTATGATGTCATACATTTTGAGTGCAGACATATCGAAACAAACAAACTGGACATAAAAAAGGGAGGTATATAAAACAGTAAATAAAAGTGAAGCATTCAATTGCCTGGTTGAACAGAGATAAAAGTATTATTTTTTTCTATCAGATGGGTTACCTGTAGCTCATAGAGGTCGTTGCTATATTTTCCATATTCCACCATCCCTCCAAACACCAGCAATCGTGTGCCATCACATACAAAACCATATGCAGCACAGCCCGGAGGGATATCACCACGGACGGCTGGGATAAACCACTGGTTTGTTGCTGTTATAAAAACGTAATTAAACAAGATTATTTTATTACTTTTTTTTTTTTTTTACAGAAATAAAAAACTAAAATAGTTGGTGCTGTATAAATATAACTGCTGTATAACCAGGAAAAAACTCTAATCTGCTGCAGAGATTATTTTTCAATCTTTACAGAAATATCAAAACAAACAAAAAAAATCTTAAAAAGTAACAAATACTATAAGTTAACACAATTTCTATATAAATTATAATCAGGATTTTAGAGACTGTTGTTAACTTGCACACACAGAGCGATGGCTTTATTTATCTTTTTTTATAAACAGGAAAGTGGGACACAGGATGTGCCTAGCCAACCAACATCATCCATTTTATTTTAGCCCGCCTTTTTTGAACTTGCATTGACACACTTTCCCCAGCAGAGGGGGACTATATTAATCAAAGAAGGGTTTGTTTGGCCTGCTGAGGCCTGGTCACAGCCCAACTTTGTAAATCACAAATGTTCAATAAATTTTAAAGTTTAAAACAGCAGCCGGGTAACACTGCCCTGACCATCTCTTATAATACAAACAAACAATTGCACATTCTTTATAAACGTAACAGCAAACGTAAATGATGCAAATCAAAACTTACCTGTGTTGTACACATGTAACTCATCAACAATTCCCTCGTTTCCACCTCCAAACACAACCATCAATTCCTTTATAGCCACAGCTCTGTGTCCATGCCGGGGCCGAGGGACCGGACCCGACCATCCAAGAACCCGCTTCCATCGCGGCTGCAGAACCGACGGAGTGGTCCCAGACACCGCGGAACCGGGGGCAGACATGGTTTCTGTCGCAAAGAAAAAAAATTGAAAACTTGTATAACTAACTCACAACTAATGCACTTATTTCCATAAAAACAACTCAAAATATGCATCAGTAGCATATAGCTGCACAACACAGAACCACTGAAGATTGTTGTTGCGGTGAGAGCAGCTGGGTCGCTAAGTAGCTAGCGCTAGCTTCGGCTAAAATGCATATATTCCAGAAACTACTCTAAAACGTTTTAAAATACTGCTTACGTAAACTGTAAAACGTAGATTCGATGCTTAACGTATCTCCGAAAATGCATAATCCCTGTACTCAAAGGTATTTAAAACCATTGATTTCAATTTATGGAAGCAGCCATCTTGCAAACAAACGGCCGCCGCTAACGCTGCTACCGGACTGAAAAATGGCGGAAGCGAATTCACAAGCAAAACATATGTAAACTAAGACGCTGCAACTTCAAAGAAAATCTAAACAAACACAAAAAGCCCGCCTATTAAAAAACGACCCAATAAACAAAACAACATACAGCCTAACAACGTATTTAATTCATTTTTTACCGTTAGCACTAGCTGGCTATTTTCATGCCTCTCTGGGAGTCGCCATATTGTAGCTAGACAAATTAGCATTTTTGCAACGACTTAAACGTAGGTAATGCTATATGGAAGGTGCCGCAACAACACCGAATGAAACACATCGTCTACAAAACATAACATTTCAACAGCTATCAAGATATTTAATCAAATTAACAAGCATATAGAGGCTACGGTTGTAGCATACAAATTTACTGTTAGCCGTTGCTCGGTTGCTTTTGCCGCTAGCTACTCAGCCTAATTTAGCAATGCTAACAGGGTTAGCTTTGCGCCTAGCATCTGTCAAAGCGTCCCCAAAAGTCACAATTAAATTCGTTGCAACATTAGCTAACCTTCGCATGCAAAAGATACACGAAACAAGTATAGTTGCAGCCACACTCTTAAAACCTAGCTAAACGTAGCGTAACAATAAAAACACTATGTTATTATGTTTCACGCCGTCTCTGGAAGCAGCCATCTTTTCGACAATCGGCCTACTTCAGCGGCTCCCTCAAGAAAAATGGCCGGGCGCTCTGCCACAACAAAACACAACAAACCAGCACAAGGTGCAACATTTAGCCAGTTTTACTTACTTAATCCGATGCAGTAGATGCAAAAACACTACAATGTGCTCTTATCTTGTGACAGTAATCCAAATTCATTCGATTTGTGAAGAAGTATTTCCTCTCATGCCTGCCTGGAAGCTGCCATCTTCTTGACAACCAGAGGCGGAGGAAAATGGAAGGGAGCTAGCGTCACCCAAAGTAAACATGGCGACCAAAACCCGCTCGATAAGCATTTCACACTCCAACACATAAACCGTTATTTGTTATTTGACATTCTAAGTTAGGAAATATTTTTTTAATCTGCGAGGACAGTTCTCTGCTGTTTTCGACCAATAATATAAACTTTGTAAAATGAACATTTTTGAAGAGTTGAGCATATTATAGCAAGTTCTGTCAAAACTGTTGGGTTATTGTCCCTTAGTAAAGATGGCGACACCCATACCGAAGCTCTTTTTTACCTATCGTGGGTGGAGGGGAGTTTATTACTGTCAAAACACAATGGTAAACCTATACCTGAGTAGAAATGGGCAACACAAATCAGAATATGGAATTACTGCTCTCAAATTTTAATCCCGACACGCCCACGTATCGGCAACCATTATTGCGCCCTCCACTGACACATTTACTGCACCACTTTAATGGCGCTTGTTTGACAGAAAAGTACCTTAAAAACACCAACAGTAGAGTAGGAAACATAAAATTATTAAGCCCACATCTTTGCACAAAAGTGTTTTTTTTTTACTGCTATAGTTTAATATTCTAAGTTATAGCCTAGTTGACGTTTTATTTTCGATTGGATTCAATGGCCTATTACTTAAACAAATACACTTTTAATTAAATTTTTATTAAAATAAACTTGAATATGAATATATATTTTTTTTTACAGTTTATGTGTATATTTAGTTAGAATGAACTAATAAGCACAGTAGCTCTGTCTGTATACTTTTTTTCAATATTTTGCTTTTGCCGAAAACCTGAAAAGAACCAGTATCTTAACAAAATGCTTTATTCAATAATTTAGCTTCTTATCTGCCTGCTTACCTGTTTTTTTTTTTTTTTTAGCTCTATTAGTTATGCATTTATTTCACTATCAAACAATTTCCCAGTTACCTGAATATTTGATTACATATTTATCAAATAATTGATCTTGTTTAGTTACTAGCTTTTTATATAGCTTTATTTATGTCATAATATAATATAAGGGTGACATTTTTTTTTTTTACTGATTAACAAAGTAGCAGGTGTGGCTGTTTTTTGCTTCAGGAAAATACCAGATATACATTTATTTTTTAAGACAAATTTCCACAGTTTCAAGGAACAAGAACAAGAATTTAGATTCAAAGAAATATGAGAAACTGTAGCAAAAGGAAGAATATTGTTACTGTGCTGTTTAAAGATGATGTTGTTTATGAAAGTTGTTTATGTGTTCATACAATAGATATAACTTTATAGATCCCTTGATAACATAAAACATATTTCTCAGATTTAAATATACTGTGGTGTTAGACTCAGCAGATTTCCGACCAATACAGATCACAGACCTAGAAGAAAATAATCCAGACATTTACTTTATTTATCGTTCTTTAAACATGTGTCTATGTCTGTGGATTTTTTTTCTAAACCTGCCTACACTTGCAGGAGGGTTGTCCATGGACAATAAGGCGGATTAAATTCCTTTTATGCTATAAGTATAGAACATCTAAAAGAGCAGCTGCATTTCTAATATGCAGGCATATATTTAGAATCTGTGTTTGTTTTGACATTAGAAAAGGGAATTGTTCTATTAAACCCAGAGAAAAATACCACATTAAAATGTTGCAATGCATTTCGGTTCCATTAGATGGCAGATTTTTGCCAGATAACAAATCTCACTGAATAGAACAAGTACAACAAAACCAAAGATTTAAGTTGGGTTTTTTTGTATTAATGTTTGGTAAAAAACAAAAAACAAAAAAAAAAACAACAAACAAACAAAGTAATGATGATAATTGAGAATAAAAAAATAAAACATCCAATTTTAATTAGAATATGTTAACCCCCTTGAAGGAGCTCCACTTTGACCTCATGAGCAATAATAGATTGTCTTTAAAATTGGAGAATATAAATGTTCAACAAAGTTTTAAATGCATTTCATGGAAAGGGGAAAACACCTCAGAATTATATATCTTACGAAAGATCAAATAATTTTTATTTGGTCATGGGATTATCAGAAAATAGAAAGTGGTCAGAGGCTCATAGAATACAGGTTTTATAAAAGAACCCCCCCCCCCCAAAAAAAAAAAAAAAAAAAAAAAAAAAAAGAATCTGTCAAATTGAGAGGATCAGGGTATCTATGGTTTCAGTTTCACTTTTTCATTGGTGGTAAGTGACTGCCAGGAGTGAATTCTGTCTATTGGGCAGCTAAGCACCTGATCAGATGCAGATAAAATTTTCCCAGATAAATAACGATACTTTTTACAATTGTCCTAAAAAGAAAAAGAAAAAACAAAAGCAACACAAATGTTGTCCCCACCAAACAAGTTGACTTTCCAGAACATAAAACCAAGAAAAAAAAAAAATATTCACAGCAGATCACATTGTAGCCTGTATTTCCTTTGCATGTTGTATCTTTGTTTTACTCAGTAAGCATGTTAACCATCAAACTATACCTTTTTTTAATCACATAACAATTTAATTTAGAATGTGTTTCATGCTTTTCTAAAATATGTAGCTCAGGAAAAAGAATCAAGGTCCCGTTAAAGGGGTCAATGTGCTTCCTATGCATGTTACAGGAGAAGGATTAGGGATTGACCAGCAGAAGATAGCAGACTGTGTACTAATTGATTACGTCAACAGAATAATGATTGGATAAATGGAGAGCACATTTCTGAGAAGCTAGATGAAGTCCACTTTGCATTAAAGCCCAAATTCATTTGATTCATTTCTTTAAATAAAAATGTAAGAGTAATATCTATGCATAATCTCCAAATTTATAAATTTCCAATTAGAAAATTTAGTCCTTATTTATACAAGGTTGCATTTATGATGTCCTTTTTAACATTTCCACTACATGTTTTTAGAATCTGTAGTACTTTTAGCTGTCAGTATTCTACTTCATTTTAGTATTTCCACGGTTTCTGCAAAATAAGTATCAGGATAACTAAACTTAAAAATCATCCAGCATTATTTCCATGACACCTCACCATTGAAATCTACTGGGTTACCTATTCTACATTAACCCACAAGACTAAGTTGTCTGTTGAAATAGTTATCCAAATAAATACCTTGATTTTCTCTTCCTCGAGCAGCTATAAACATGTAAGATAACTTGGGAACTACAGAAATATAGAAAGTACAAAGTTAAAATCATATACTGTAGATAAAATATAGGGTTTAAGAAGAGTTAAAAACATAAAGATTTCTTTATTTAAACAAGACCAAAATATGCATGATAGGTGCAGAGTTGCGATTAGTTACCGAGAAAGTTCTCTATGATCCTGTCCATACATTTCAGTAATATGTGTATGAATTAAACATTTTATTTGATGAATAACTGAACAATTACATTTTTTGAATAATGGTGGTGACAGAGAACAGAATTAGGAAGCTGTGATTAGATTTCTATCTTGCTGCAAAACCAGAACAGCCAGGTAGTTGTTAATTATCAATATTATTTTTTTCTGGTGGCGGTGAGAAATGTAGCTGGTAATAAATCTAGAAAATCTTACATCTTCAGGAATGCTCAGAAATGCTTTAATGCACTAAGAACCTGGACCACTGTTCTGTGATGTTCTCCTACCGTAGCACCTACCGTGTACTTTCCCACCTCCTTTCCCAATCTCCTTCTGCACTTTTCTTTATGCCTGCAATCTGTTTGTAGAGCAGCACCTTGGAAAAAGCCAGACTGGTGGTCTTCTCCCTTAATAAGTACTGAATTTTTATCTTCAATATTAACTCCATTGTGAATGCCTCGTTTTTAAGTGCTTTGGATAAAATCGCATGTCTAATGCATAAACAGAAACATAGATGGTTTCATCTCTAACCTACGTTTCCAAAATCAGAACCTCAGTGAATCTGTAATTCCACTTGTGATTCTGGTATTTTTTTGGGTATGTCTTATCAGCTTTACTCTTTTTTTCTTTGTATAAAGCAAATGTTTATTCGGATTAGATAATCCTTGGATGAGTCTTAAGTCTTAAGTGCCAGATTCCTAGTTCTACAAGAGCTGTGAATCTTGCGCAGCCATGTCTAGGTAGGTTTGCAGTTTTGCTTAGATAACTTCTGTTTGCCCTAAATGTCTCTATAGTTTTAAATCTGGCCTATTTTGTATGTTTATTGGTTTCCAAGATTCTGTATGTTTGTTAATATTCTCAGGCAAATTTCAGACACCTTCTTAAAACAGAGTTTGTGTAGTGATTTGGCTGGTCTGATTACCATTCAGTGAAACAAGGACTGCAGACTGAATCCCTGCTTTCAAATAATGCATGAGCAGCAGATGAGCTGCAACTGAGGAACCTCAAGTTTTTATGCTTCTGCTGATTGAAGCACATTCCATTTGTTTCACTAAAATAAACCACATGAGATACCAACCATCTTTGATTTCTGTCTCTACAATCTCCCACCTTCACATAAAGAGCCATTCCATTGCTCTTTACTGAGTTTAAATGAAGCAAATGCTTTATCAGTATATAATATTGTTTCTCCCCAGTGACATTTCATCAGGTGAGCCCTAAAAGTGCACATATTGTTGTGTGTTTTAAATTAAAATACCTGAAAACTTCAGGATGATACTGGCAAGAAGAAAGAATTGGGTTTGAGGGTAAAGGTGGTGACAGCACTGCGGTTAGCACCCTCCTGGCTCCTGCGTCTGCCCAGTGCTTATCCCAGGCTCTGATTACCTCTAAAGTCTGATCTCGGAATGACGTCACGTCCAACTTAACTGTGTTACAGTTACAAAAGGGCGAACCATGAGATTTGCAAATTAAATTTTCATTGTTGCACTTTTTACTACCTTTGATATTCAAGGTAGCCGTATTGGATTTGAAAGTGAGGATTGGTAAGAAACCATTAAGTTTCCAAGCCAGAATTCCCAATAATACAGTTCAAATTCCTCAATAGAAGTCTAACTATATAAAAGAAACTACTCACATTTTAAAAGCAATGTAATATTAGAAGGCATCAGTCTCCTCTTAATCAACACTTCTAGCCA